TAAAGGCATTCATTAAAGCTCAGTCAGTTATTGATGAGTAGCATCTATACTTACTATGTGGTGTCAAACCTTCACGTCGCTTCCACTCAGGATCAGTGACCTTGCCTGTTCATAGGAAAGAAGAAAGTAATTCGCTATTTGCAACAAAGCACAAAAAAAGCTGTTGAGTTAAAGAGAGTTTCAATTTGTTTTGTCCATGCATAACCTTGTTTAATTAAGTTTGCAAAAATTTCTTGATCATGAATAAGTCTAACTTTGATATATTGCTTTTTCAACAATTTTTAACTTAATCATCAGTCTATTAGAAAGCAATATTGAGCTCCAGAAAATGCTATGCAAATGTTTACTATTATCATGATTATCATGATTGTCACTGTTATTGTAAGTCATAATTATCATGACCAATATCATAATCATTTTTATCATTAATAATTACAAACACATGCACAGCTATTGAGTAAAGCTACCTCATGTCCAACCAATGGATTCTAGGATGTTACTAGATTAATAATTACAAGACAAGTCATTTCTGTACCACAAAAGCACTTGTACACTGCTGGTATGTCCTGGGCAATGTTTTGACATCCTGGGCATCGCCAACCACCAGTTTCACCTGTAGAAAAATCATGTATTAATCAAATGCATCAGTACATTAATTATTACTAGCACAAAATAATTAAATCAGGATTCATCCAATAAGTATCTGAAGAAAGTGTCAACAACATATTCATGGTTATTATTTTTAGCTGCTTTTGAACTCAGACCAAAAACAATGCTGTAGAACAGAAAATACCCTCCACACTCCATAATGAAGCACTCTACCTCTCTGAACGACATCTGGCACAAGATTCAAGCATTGTTCGTTTCAGTTCTCTGGAGCCCATTTCATTGACCTTGCACACTTTAAACTCCAGCTCCTCATGGACTTCTTCAATGAGAACTTATCATCTGTTAACAATTCCAATTCCTTAACCCCCCCCCCCCCCCAACCACTGATCATGACAAGCTTAGGCTTGGTTCAGGAATTTGGGTCCCAATGCTTAGGTAAAACTTTTTTATCTAAATCACAGTAGGAGCTGAAAGAGGAACCACACTAAAAAGAAGACAAGCCTTACAAAGGTGTTATAAGCCGGATTAATCCCGACACGTTTTAGCGGCAAATTTTCGTCATTAAGGTATACGAGTTTTCTTGAACGCCTGATGTGTAATACAATAAAACAATGGGACAGGGCTACTCTTTCTTTGCTGTTACATTTTTTGAGGCTAGGGGTTTCGTGCCAGCTTGGTTAAAAAATTTACATCACCGGAATTTTCAGTTTTAAAACGCCTTTATCTTAGTTGCCATTGTATTGGTAAAGGATTACATAAATAAATTTGTTAGAGAGAAGTAAATACTTCAAACATTTATTTGTTAGACACAGGAAAACAAAGCACTAGTGTTGTTGTTAGACACAGGCAAATTAATGCCCCAGTGTATTTGAGTGGGCAGTGGAGCGAGATTACTTCATTTTTCCCGCTAATATTTCCAAATAATTATGGTATTGCTGTAATAAATTAACCCTAATAAGTAATGTAGCATCTTGCTTGTGTTCTTTGTTCTGTTGCTTTTTACAAAGACACCGTCAAAAGATCCAAATGTTCTCTGATTCTGTTTTAACTGTTGCAAATGGCAAAATATTTTTAGAGAGATTTTTTTTTTTTAAATTGGAAATAGCAGACGCAACATCAAATTGCTTGTGACCGGATATGAAATCAACTATCTTACTGCAGATTGCCATATGCCTAACCGCAAGGGAGGCAAATGGCCGTGGGATTTTAACGCCTTGGGCAAATGCCTGCTGTGAATTCCTGAACTGGCCTAACCCTCTCATGCTCTAAGGCTTTTGCCTGCCTTTAACAGAAACTGTACTTTTACGGTATCCATGGTCCTATATTGCTCTGGATTACTACATTGTTGATTACTACCTTATTGCTACCTTGTTTTCATATTTTTTCTGCTCCATTCACTGTCGATCTATGACTATTACACATTAAATATATAATATCCTACAATAAATACAATACCTTCCTTCCCAGCAGTAGCAGAGCACTTAGCCCATCTTCTGATACAGCCCAAGTGAAACACATGATAGCAACTCTGACAGCTCCACACAGCAGCACTACATCGCACTTTTTCACAACAAACCATGCACTCATAAGTTTCATTTCGTAGCTGCTCTATTAAAACACTGGCTTGAGCTGACGTAGTTGGATTTAGGTGACTTAGGGCACGAAGAACATCTGTCTTCTGACGTCTATAGTCTATATTACGCTTGTTTCCTTTCCTTTTGTCCTTTCCCATAATTGCTTCTCCATTACTTCCCTTGGATATATTTTTTCTGATATCAAGTTTGTCATTACTTTCTGTGTGTTCAGAATTATCAACATGCTTACTGCTGTAAGGCACTTTTACTCCACTTTGAAAGTTACTTTTAACCAAGTATTTATTGTTCACTTCTCTTTCTGTGGAAGGATCACTCCTTTCATGTGAATAGGTATACATCAAAGCTTCTGCTTCATTGCCCTGATATTTATCCTTGGTACCATATGCAGAATGTCTCCCTCTTCTAGGCCTTTGCCTTTTATTACCTTGTGCCCATCCAGTTTCTTTTATATTTCTTGACACACCTCCTTTAAAATCTACATGTAACCCCTCTGTAGCTGTACTTCTGGAGCATTGTCCAACATCTTCATGCATTAAACCTGGAGGGCACATGGCATGAACATCTGTAACAGCTTCCCAGAATGTTTCTTTGTCATTTTTGTCTCCTGTGATTGGCTTAAATTCCCATTGGACCAGCTGAGCAGTCAATAAAGATGGGTCTCCACCATAACATGCTCCAAGAGTGACATCCTGATCTGCCTTAATGCCTAACCAGTCATTCCCTTTCTCATAATGTCCTCTATTAGACCGCTTATGGTGATCTTTTACTTGGCCTCTCTTACTACCTCTTGGATGAACAGAACCTGGTTTGCTGCTCTTGGCAGTTGTGTGCTTATCACCAGTTGCTGTTGCTAACAGTCTATCGTGTTGGCTCTTTTGTCTTCCTTGTAGACGTCTACCTTTGAACTGGGACCTCCTAATCCGTGTCACTTGGCTGTTTCCTGAGGCTGTTGATGCTCTTGATACTTCTGATTCACTGCCCTGTTCTAACTCCACCACAGACCCTGTACAGGAATCCTCTTCTGACATTATCACTACAAAGCCTTAAAAAAAAGAAAAGAAATTTTAAAAGATCAATATTGAAGGTACATGTAGCAAGGCATTTTGACCACATCATGATGACTGGAATATTAATACACTGCTACAAACTTAAGTTGACTCTGTCCTTTGTACAGCCAGGGCATCTGACAATTTTGTGGGATTTTCAGAAACAGATTCACAAAAACATCCGCTGATTTTGCAGAAATTTTGTGGAAATTTTTAGGGCTAACTTCACCAAAAACAATAATGGTAAAACACAGCCAATTTCTCAGGGATTTTCTGGGCAAATTTCACTAGAAATGGATCAATTTTGCGCTGATTTGACAACAGTGCTCGACTGTCAGAAAAAAATCTTGGAGCCAGCTGGCCCCCAACGTTTTATTTTTGGTCAACAGAACAAGTATTCTAGTCACCAAAAAGTATACCGGTATTTAAGAATTAACACCTTTTACTTAAAATGCTTTACACTCCTTTCGAACTTTCTTTCGAACGGTTTTCGTTCAAGGCTCGATTACCAGCCGGTGTTCGGGAAAATGAGCCCACCCTCAAGCATAAATCTCCTCAGACAGGTATTCAAGGCCAAGGTTCAATAGAGGTCAGAATAAAGTAACAGGGTCATAAATATAACCCAGCATATATACAACTGAACCTTCCTTACATGAAACCCGAAATGTACACCTTTACTTGAGTGATGTTCTGGATTGACAGCTTTTTTTCTATTGATGAGGTAAAAAGTAAAATTAACAAGAGCGCGAGGTTCCCTTCTCCTTGAATTCATCACTGTTAAATGTCTCGTTGTTATTTCCTCCCTATGCCGGTTATTTTGTTTTGTAAATGTATTGATGGATACAATTTTTTTTGACATTTTAGAACGTTAGAACACGCAGTCGATCGAAGAAAAGGTGAGTGATAGACTTCATTATCACAATTAAATAGCCCAGAGGAAATTCCACAACACTCTTAAATCACCGTAAGAGTTTAATCCACAGGGGTCTTCGTTTTAGTCCAGGGGATCTTCGTTTTAGTCCAGGGGGTCTTCGTTTTAGTCCACGGGGTCTTAGGTCTTTGTTTTTGGGTCTTCATTTTAGAAACACCCCTGATTAGGGTTAAGCTTTCATTCTACGGATTAGGGTTAGGCACTCATTTTAGGGTTAGGGTTAAGGGCTGTTTAGGGTCAAACACTTATTTACAACGGTTAGCGTTCAGTTACTGTTTTCCGTATTACTATTTTCGATTTTTATGGTGTTTTTTTCCATGATTCTTCAATAGACTGCATGGCTCGCATTTTATACACACTCGTCAGTCTTCCAGTTGGCAGTATAGTAGATAAGATGACACAGGGAAAATCAACTGTATCTCCCAAAACAACGCTACTGTATGCAGTTTAGGTATTTGACAAAAACCTCTGTGTCACAGTACAATAACGAAAGCACGACGGGATCCCCACAGCATTATAATTATATGAGAAACGCACGCCATCTAACTGCTCAAGTGCAGCCGCCATTTGGACCATTTTGCTAGTCTAGAAGAATCTTAATGAAATGCAGTTCTACAGACTATGGTACTAACACCTGAACAATGTGATATAGGGAATAAATAAATGAGCTTACATTGGCTTACGCAGCTCTACGTAAATAAGTTCAGCTTCCGTTTCATTGAGTTTTAGTAAATCCTTTGGAAGTACTTGGTGTAAGACTGACCAAATTTTGTGCCCTACACAGTTACTTTACTTGACGTAGTCACTCAAGCTTTGAAACCGCTGTTCTAGAGTTAGTTTGTTATTTAGTGGAGGTATGCTAGATCGCGGGCGTTATGACGAAGGAGCTACGCAGGAGTGAGGAGTGATGGGCGAGTGATGGTTGTCTGGTAGTTCATGTGTTTGCCTTGTGTTCAACAAGACATCAAAATGGAAGAACTTCAACAACTCGAACAACTCTCTCTTGTGTCTAAGATTTGCACTGAGCTGGATAATCACTTGGGCATAAATGATAAGGATCTTGGTGAGTTTTTTAAAAGTTTACGATATCTATAGGTATCACCACATTATGCAAGTTATGCAAGTGTGGCTTTCTAGCAGGGACCTTGTCTAGGAGAAGAGATTAGGGATAAAATTTGAGTGTTCACAGTGACAGAAAAATTTTTACCATTCAGTAATTATGCATGTTGAGGGGCACATTCGGGGGTACCCAATACCGCAATATCGTACGAAAAATTGGCAAATACCGATACCGCATTTATGATCGGTGACGCTTACTTAACGTTGTATCCATCTCGCGTGTTTTTTTTAATATCTCAAGCATGTATACACCAGAAATCAACCTCAACCCTCGCGAAAAAACGTGGGAAGATCTCGCATTGATCGGTACAACGATCGAAAAGCCAGGTCATTAAATGTCCTACCAATTTCATCATAGAGTAACTGTCAGAAATTGTGTACTCATTTACCGTTAAGTCTTAAGTCTTCCAAAATTAATATTGATCTACATTAGACACAGAGGCCAAATGAACAGTACCGCAATACTGTGAAGGATCTTCTTTTACCGATTACCGTTAGCCAGAAGGGTGCAAAACTGCATTCTGCAGGGCTGGATGATTCCGCAATACTGCACATTAAAATCAAAATTACTAAAATACTGCTTGAAAAAATGCTCAACACCACAATACCGTAAACCCCCATGTCCCCCTCCATGTTATGTAACCACATTAGCTTGCCAGTGAATATCGCCTTCCCAGAGTTACGTCAGATCTACAGATAGTTTGTATTCTAATAAAGTAGAGTATAAATACCATCAATTGACGTGATACTACTCACTTTGACTCTGAAGTCGACTACCGCACAGTTTATCGAAACATCAGTCACTGTCAACAACAACAGTCCTATTCAGGACAACGTTCACCCGGACGATCAAACTCAACCTACTTTAGAAATGATTCCTGGGTTCAAACCTTTCCTATAAAGTTGTTGTGTTGTCATAAAATCAACTCCAAATTATTCAGCTGCCACAATGAAATGCGCATAACCCTCTCTGCAATCATTGTTTTATGGAAAAAGGAAAATTCCTTTCAATCACTTTGCTGAAATGATCAATCAAAGTAAATAATTTCGTTTCACTGGGTTTCAATTTAATGAAAAGTTCATACCTGTAGGACATTACTTCGCAACTTCCACTCCTTGTCGATATGGATGGTTTTCACAATGATGTCATTGTTGTAGATAATTTTTTGTCTCAGTTAATTTTTGTTTTCTAACTAGTTAATTTTTTCCAACTAGTTAGTTTTTTTCTAACTAGTTAGTTTTTTTCTAACTAGTTAGTTTTTTTCTAACTGGTTTATTTTTTCTATCAACTGTCTAAAAAGGGATTTTCTTTTATGGGGTGTGGTTAAAAAATAGGGGCGTGGTTTTTTAGGGGGTATAAAAACAAATGAAATAAACATTGAAACAATTGGGAGATGTCTTTTGATTACTTTCTCCATTCCCCACTGAGTCCCATTACTCCACTCACTACACCTCTATTTTTTCTTTTTTCTTTTACTACAACATTTGTACTTACCAAACCTTGAACTCTCACCTTCTAGACTGCACTCGCTGAATCTCAAGGACTATGTGATCTCCTCTATACCACAGAGGCTGTTGTTCCCAATCACTCAAAATTTCTATTAATTATTTCTTATTCGACCCAGTCCCACCCCAAGCCACATTTAATTTATGAAAACATTCGAGCACGCGCGTTGGCTAGAAAACAAGACTTGACACGATGAAGGTTTTTCGAAATCGCTAACATTCGCTTCGAAATGGAAGATTGTGTTGATGAAAAAACTTTCTACGAAAAGTTAGAATCCTTAAAGCCCGGAGAAAGCAAAGTTACAGTTTATATCGACGACTCGTTTTATGAAAATGCGAAGAATTATCTGCAAACTCTTTCGAAATTTCAACAAGGCAAAGAACATGAATCACATGCCGAACTTTCCAAGCGTGATATCAGCACTATAAAACGGAAAGGATGGACTCTAAAGGGCGAAGAAATTGTTATCGCAAATAACAAGGTCGTTGTACCGAAAAGTAAGCTGCACAAAGTTCTCTGTGAATGTCACTCTTCGACTGCGCACCGCGGAAGAGACAAAACCAATACTTACGTAAAAGGTATTAATTTTATTCTGAAATACCACAACAAGTTGTATCTTTGTTTACACGTTTGTGTAAACTGCATGCCCAACAGAAGAGCATTACCAACCACAAGAAGCGACCGATAACAAACCCAATCAGTGCTGAAACGTTTATGTCCCATATAGAAATTGATCTTATCGACTTCCGAAACGTCAAATGTTCGTGTACTAATAGCCATCAGTGGGTTCTACACGTAACTGACCACCACACCAAGTATTCTTGGTTATATGCTTTGCACAATAAAACGGCAGATGAAGTGTTAGCAAAATTAGAAGAGTTATTTTGGCTTTTTGGATTTCCGCAAACCCTGCACAGTGATAATGGTAAAGAGTTTAAAAACAAACTAATGCATGAATTCTGCCAAAACCATGGGATTAAACAAGCACATGGTGCAGCGAGAAAACCACAAACACAAGGCCTTGTGGAGAGAAATAACAGGACTGTTAAAGAGAACTTAACAAACATACTTAAAGGGAACCAAGCTGATGTCACAACATGGTGTTCAAGACTGGGAGAAGCAGCTTACAAGAAGAACATTACCATCCACAGAGCTGTCAAGGAAATACCATATCGACTTGTTTTTGGAATTGATCCCAAAAAAGAAAAGAAGTTGAATCCCACCCACGAAGAACAAGAAGAAGATCAGCTGTCAGAGATGGCAAATACAAATGTGCCAGTAAAACGAAAAACCCCACCCACTACTGAATGTGAAAGCAGGAAAAGAACAAGAATTGAAGTCAATTCACGCCAAATTGAGTACAATGAAAAAATGAAGAAGTCCAGGCAAAAGCCTCAAACCCTTAATATTGGAGATTTTGTTAGCATCAAAATTGACCTAGTAGATAAAACACCATTTCATCCGAATGTGCTTATGGGAGAAATCATTGCATTTGAAAATGAATATGCTAAAGTTGCTTGCAAATTTGGAATTATTACCACCCTCATTTCCCCAGCTAGATTAGTTAAATGCCAAGCAACAAATATCAAAATAAGCAAGGATAAGGAAATCACATTCACAAAAGCATGCAAAATGGCAATAGAGCAGTAGAACAATAAACTTTATTTCACAGTTGTGTGTAAATTTAAATATTTATTGATGTATTTAATGATTGATGCACATCAACATTGAATGTACGCTGTAGACAGCTCAATTAGAACGGAAATGACATCATGTCAGTGTTGTAATTAACACCATGTATAGTAGTATAATGCAGTAAAGCCAATGTGACTTCTTAAGTTTCTCTGTGATTACAAATATTAAAGGACATTCAACATGTTGTTAAATAGATTGTTATTCATCGTGGTAAATGTGATGATAATGTGAATTAATCCATGGAGATACTCATTACAAACTCAATTTTTATGAAGGAGCTAACCCTAACCTTACCCAAAACTTATAGTTAACCCTAACCCTTAATGAAAGCCAACCCTAACCCTAACCCCAACCTCAACCCAAAACTTATAGCTAACCCTAACCCTACTCAAACAAACAAAAAAAACCCTTGAGCATTTACTTAAAAAAGGAAATAACAGGTTTTATAAAAATAATTTGTTGCAAAGACAAAAATCAACCAGCCAAAAAAAATGTAACTAGTTAAATAATTTTTTACCCAGTTAGAAAAAAATAAACTAGCTAGAAAAAAACTAACTAGTTAGAAAAAAATTAACTAGTTAGAAAACAAAATTAACTGAGACAAAAAATTATCTACAACATCATCAAATTGTAAAGTCAAAGTAGCGAGATTTTACAAATTCTTATTTACACGAGGTTGAAGATAAACAAAAAGTAAATCTTTGTACAAGTTTCCATTCCCGTAGCATGTTTCCTTTAAAAAATACAGCAATTTGAACTTTCGAGTTTTCACAGTGCGTGACACCAAGATAGGAAGGCTGTCTCTATTTTCAGCAGTATAACGATTCCAAGTATTAGAAGATATTTTTATGCACACGTATGCTAGTTCTCGAGTGAAAAGAAGGAGCTTTTATAGAAAAAGTTTACTCCAGATGTTTTTGTTGATTTTCTACGGCCATATTGGGGCACCAAAACCGTGCACCAATATGGTGTCTCCATACAAAGCTCTACAAAGGTGCGTGAAACGTTTCGGCAAATAACTCAGAAACTGTGGGCCACAAAGACCTGAGACTTGGACAAAATTTTATTGTTTAAAAATTAGTCTTTTCGAACATTTCATTTTTTTGGCTTCTTCCACTGGATGGTTTCCAATTTATTTTTTTGTTGCATGACAGTGAATACGATCTACAGTACCGTTCAAAAGTAAGTTGACACTCGATTCTCAATCCTCGCGAGAATCGAGAATCAAGTCGAGAATCGAGACTCGATTCTCGATTGTTGCATCTTGATTCTCGATTCCTGCGAGACTCATCAAGCCGCAACGGTCTTTGTTTATAATCGATTGAAAGGGTTTTGTTTCGAGTAATTTACTCTCTACATGTACTCTCGATAATTGGTTGCTATGAGAATCTACAACCTTTGTTCAAGTTTTGAGCATCTTCTAATTTCTCTTACGTCAAAAAAAATCTTTCTACTCCATAAAATAACAAACTCTTCTCCGCATCTGATTCTTGGAGAAATTCCTGAACTATGCAAATTATATAGTAGCGGTTGACATTTGCATTCTTTCATACTGCTCGGGTGACACTTTGCGTTGAAATCTTAAAAATATTCTAACGACACTTTGGATCATTTAAATAGCAGAAATTGTTAGTAATAGTAAATGTGAACGTTGAACTTGAAAAGCAGTTCAGGACTTTTTTAAAAATCCAAAATACATGTAAATGACAAGTACACGATGGTGTGTAAATGTTGCAGTTAATTTTTAACTTCAGTTAAATTTTGTTTTTCCTTTGTTTTAAAATCATTAGCATACATTACCATACCCCAAAACAATGGAAAAATAAAAATTAACTGAAATAAAAAATTAACTACAACATAAACAAAGTCTCGCGGTGCTTCTTGTTGCTTTCGAGTTTTACTTGCCGATATTTTTTCGATTGCCTGTTTGTGAATGACCATCGGCATTATTGCAGTTGAATGTCTGATTATCGGTGTCTACAGTTTCAGGGTGTTTCTTTTCGCTGGAAACTTTACTTGTAATTTGACCTCTTGACTAGAATTGCTGTTTTTACGATACACAGTAGCATCTCCGTTTGCCCTCTGCTTTTCATGAGACGTGATTGCAGAAATAAAAGTTTCGATTTGAATGTACTTGTAAAGTTTCAGAAAACTTCCGAAACGTCCAAGAGCTTTGAAAACCATATTTTGTCTCGTGCAATATGGTCTGCTTTTGAAATAAGCATCACGCGCAATTTCTTGTCACAGTAGTTGCAGTCATGTGCTAGGAGACAAAAAAGTTCACGCGTATTATGTTCCATCACGGAAGAAACAAGCCCAATGTTAAGAGAGATTATCTCAAAGACCTCAAACTTTAAAGAAGCTGAACACGCAAAATTTCCTAGTAGAATTGGAACCATTGTTTTTCGAATGCGGTTTCAGAGATTAGTCATGTTACAGACGGACGTGTATGTTGCAGCTGATCGTTATCAAGCCAAGTGGCTGGATAAGCGCAGAATCCTTTGACGTTACAAATTAAACATGCTGTTGCTTGTACACGAAAACTGTTTGTTTGCATATGGAGTAGGCATTTGAAACTTTACTTGAGGAAATGAAGCTTGATACAGATTTCCTTGAAGAAACATTCATTTTATAATACGAATTTGTCTCGTTTCGAGCATACAGTTGCTTGCGCGAATCGCGAATATACATGTAACCATGCCATGTTGTGTTACAGCTTTTGTTTTCTGTCCTGCGAGACTCGATCCTCGACTCAATTCTCAATAGCTTGTTTTCAATTCTCGATTCTCTATTTGCGTAGGAATTGAGAATCGTGAATTGAGTCAAGAATCGAGACTCGCAACGGACTGTCAACTTACTTTTGAACGGTACTGTATAGTTGCAGGTGATTGTCAAATATGATTCAGTGGCAAGACTTGTCGAGCCATCTGTTGTTAAAGCTACAGCAACAGCCTCAGCAAATTCACTTTTCAGTTCAGTTTTCTTTTGCTCGTAGAGTTCTAACAATGCCTTATCCGAGAGGTGCTGTCGTGAAGGTATTGTATACCTAGGCTCAAGAATGTGAATTAGGTTCTGAAATCCCGAATTTTTTACAGCACTGAATGGGTGTAGATCTTTGATGATAAATTGCAGAATTGCACCAAAAATTGCTTTCGCACTGCTTGAATTGTGTGGCAGTGTGGCAGCAAATAATGTTGGAAGAGCCTGCTGGCCTGAATGAGTAGTTTGCTTTATACAAGCTGTGGCATCTGAGCATTCTGAGGATGTAGACTGCAGATATGTGCTGTGTTTTCTTCGCAGGTTAATCAGTTAGGTTTGTTGTGTTTCCGCTATATTTCAATATCATGCGGTCAGGGCACAACTTGCATGCAACTCTGGTCTTATCCACAAGCCTGTTTTTCTTTACAAAGCCAAGGTGTTGCCATATGCTCGCCTTTACTTTCTTGTTTGGCACTATTTTCAAAAGACTCGCTCCTATCTACCATGTTTGTTACACAGCAACTGCCCTTTCAGCAAATTCTCGTAGAGGGGGATCAACAGAATCCTTGAACTGCCATTTTGAATGCGGAGAAGAACCTGGGGACGAATTTTGCAAAAAAAAAACTTGGGGAAGTTTATTTCAGCATCTGTGCATGTAAAATTGTTCCCAGACAGACCAGAAGCAACAGGAGAGGCATTTATTCCATCAAGGAAAATGCTAAGGGAGATCATTTAAAAACTATCAATAATTATGGAAACTGTCGCAATTATTATCGATTGTTAAACTTGCAGTCGATGTATTGTTATCGCAACACTTACAATCCCGATGCATTGATAGTTCAATGTATCGTTACACCCTTAAAATACAGCTCCACTAACTTCAAACAGCGTCACAGCAGAGAAAAATGCTTTTGGTTCATTCCTTCTCAAAAGTAAGTTACTCATTGTTTGCGCAATGAGAATCACGTCGTGCATGAGAATCATTGGAGTGGCAATTTTTGGCGTAAATTATTGATGACACATCCAGCGAGAAACCAACCAAAAATTTTGTGTAACATTACTCAAAGACTGGGGAAAACTGGTGTTAGATTTCGACTGGATTTTTGGTTGTGCACCTAAAAATTCATGTGTAATCGCACCTGTGGGCCGTAAAACCCAAAGCACAGTGCAACTGACTTACTTCCGGTACATGTATACTAACTAACTCGAACTAGAAAAACGGTGTATGTTTAATTGGTCTTTTCTCCCAATGGATTCTACAAACTTGAATGCTCTTTTTCGTTTCTATGTTTTACTCCATCCCGGACTCTTCTGTTTTGTAATAAACACCGCTGGCACATGCAAATATATGCTATGAACGAAACACGTACTTTTTGCGCAATGGACGATCATGTCGAACGTTCAGTTTTAATGTCAATCAAAGCAAAAACAGTGTTGATTAAGAGCCTTTTTTTTTTCAGGTAAGAAAGTTTTTTAAGTCGTATTCCAGTTACATGCAAGCCATTGCGCATTTAACAAATTCATTAAAGATTAATTTTCATTCGTGTTCGACACACTCATTGTTGTCAGTTTTGAATTGTTTTTCAAGTGTAAGTTTTCTTTAGTCACAACTGTACTGTCAAAAGGAGAAATTAATTTTAAAAATCACAAGGGTATTACTGCGTAGCAAATCGGCTGTGTTTTATCAATCACAGGAGTGAAGTAAAAGTAACAAACTGAAGATGACAAATAAACGTGGCACTGTTAAGCTTTTTACTTTTTCTTTTGAAATAGATGCTCCCAACATTATAAGCTGTGCTCCTAAAATTTTCAGCTGTGCACCTAAAATCTCGGCAGTGCGCCTAAAAATTTACATCTGGTAGCGCAAGTGCTCCCAAACTCAAATTTAAACTTTGAGCCCTGATGATACTTACAGTTTTTAGGCCATTGTTTGCTATAAGAATCACGTGGCACACTACAGGAATTCCATAACGCGGGACATGATCGACGCTTCTCACAAGAGGGTGGTAACTTACTTTTGAGCGGTGTACTGTATAATAATTTTAGTGCAGCAATATTATTATTCTATCGCTGCATGGCGCAGTGGTCAACGATCTAACTCCACTGATAGGAGATTTGGAGGGAGCAGGTTCCAATCCCAATGAAGTCATACTTTTAAACTGTGTACATTTTTTTGCCTTTTTAGTTTTTTGATCATTTTTTTTTCCCTTTGGCTTGTTTCCCTTTATTCTCACCACTTATCCTTTAAAGCTTCGAGTATAATTTTTGCAATAATGTATTTCTGGTTTCTTACTTAATGATTCGTGTACATGGGGGTTAGCATTGAAATAAATATAATAGGCAGAAATCCACTTATTCTGCCAAATTATATCATTCTTTCTGTCTGGATCACCGTTACTGTCTCCAAAGTAAAATAATTGATTTATTTTTTTATGTCCAGTCCTTTTAAATATATCTGAATCGATGAGATTTTATAAAAGTACCTAAGTATGTATTTTCCAACTGCTAGCATTCCTTTAATATCCTCTTTGTTTTGCTGCCACTTTGACTAATAACTTTTTTGTTTGATTTTATTTTTAATGTTATTTCGAGGTTAGCCCTCTTGATGAGTTTTTTTTTTACTCTTAGGGCAAACTTCGTCAATAAAATGTGCATAAAATAAAATAATTTTAATAAATGAAAAAAAACATGAATCTTACACAGGGAGGGCTCAAACACTATGAATAGCAGGGAGTTACATTGTACAACTTACACTTAATTTCAGTTTACCTGCCAAGATTTTGATGTCACACGATGAATCTTTTTGTTAAACCAAAGTTTCATCTACATTTTTCTCTGACATACCACTAAAGGGGGCCGCATAACACACCTGAAAAAAATTATTAATAATAAATGATTGATTTAGTTTGGAAATACATCTGAAACTTGCTTTTTCCAGAAAACACAAATTACCATTGGCTGAACAATGACTTTCCTGTCATCACCTTGTCATTAAGGACCTTAAGATCCGAGGACTGCAACGGCAGAGAAAACGTCGCTGAAAAAGTGAATTCGCGTCCTTTCAATCTTCATCGCAATTACTCCAAGTAACTAACTTTGTCAAATGTAGGTGAACCCTCCTAAAGTTGAATTCCTAAGAATCACATCCAAGTTGAGAAAGAGAGAGGAAATTTCGTTGTCACTTGTGTACTTCCTCTGTACATCGTGAAATTAGGCATTTTCACGTCGTAGTCGTACAGTGACGGCAAAGAAATGTACAAAAAAGCATGATGCACGTGCAAAATTGTTGTGGCGTTCCCGTTGCCGTCGCCTTCATCGGATCTTAAGGTCCCTAATGTCTTGACTCACGCTTACAGTGTTTGTATTTGGACACCACTAACTTGTCACAAACTGAGTGAACTTGAAAGTCGCATTTTTGATACACTCTGTCTTGGAATTTGTACTTACATGTATACTTTCTTGTCCTGGATTGGGCTGTCCTTAAAAAGCTTATCCAATGGTTGTTTGGTGCCACTTTTAAAGGACTAACTGAAAAAACAAAGAAGGTCTGTGGGCAGGCTATTCATACTGTTGAACTGCCTTTTTTAAGTGATGTTTTATTTTGTTATTTTCAGCGGAATTTATAATTATGTTGGGGGAGAAAAACCCTTCTTTGGATAAGTTCCAAGCAGCCTTGGCGGAAAGTGGTGCAGAATTTCCAGTAAGCAATTGAGAACATTGTTAAATGCTTCTTTTAAGTAGCTGTATTTTTCATAATAAGATATCTTTTATTAATTTTTTTCAGAGTGTTTCATCACAAGATCATATACTGCAGAGAGGTTGAAAATACAATGTGCAGCAGCGTATTTTTGACAAACTTTGAAGTGTTTGATATCGTGTTAAAACGACTGTGTTAAATGTTGTTTCTCAATTAAATTGTTTTAGAAAGAGAAATACTTTTAGGATGGAAAAAGAGGAGGTTTTGATCTGTTTTCCAAGCACTGTGTGTATAGCTTTACAAATTTGTGTATGCATCTTGAGTCCAGTCTGTTCAGGGAACTAATCACAACACTACATAATGGAATTAAGTTTCATCAGTTGAAACAATCCTGAGTCATGTAAAATACACATGTAAATTTCACCACCTCAGTTGGAATAATTATGGAAAAGCATGGTGATGTTTGTTTTTGTCAACTGGACCAGAACACGCAATTCCTTTCTTTGTTGATGTGGATACCGTAAAATTCCGAAAATAAGCCCCAGGGCTTATATTTTTCAAAGGCCCTTTCTGGGGGGCTTATTTTTGGAGGGGCTTATCTATGGAGAAAAATTTGGGTCTCAAAATCGATTGGGCTAGCCTTATAGCTGGAGGTAAATTTACCATTTTTGCTTTGTTTTACTTTGTATTTGATGGCAATTTTCCAAGTACAAGTCCCCGGGGGGCTTATATTTGGAGGGGCGATTTAGCGGAGGGTTTTTTATGTTACTGGTTTGGGGGGCTTATATTTGGGGGGGCTTACACATGGAGGGGCTTATTTTTGGAATTTTACAGTATTCTGCCTCTGTCATTTCTATATTATGAGTATGTTTCCAACCTAATGCATGATATCAATAATAATAACACTCCTCTAAATATCTTGAAATTATTTCAAAAAACCCCCAGCATACATACAGCTTTACGCACAATATGCGAATATCCACCTCCGTGAATTTTTACGTTCAAAGCACTAGATTAGAGATACATAAGCGTTATTTTTCCAGATTTGGCGTAAAACTGTGAAATAAGATACTGTGTAGATTGTAAAATCTACCCAAGAAGGAATTTAAAAGAGAAATTTACTGACTTCTCCTAGATATTGCAGGAAAAGAAAATGACTATATAGAAACACCGATTATCACACAAAAACTTGATCTGGCTAAATAATTATGATTATTTATTTTTTCTTAAAAGTTTCAATTGATTTTTCTCTTATCATTTCCTTAGTAATTTAGATTTATTTATGTAATAACATTTATTTTAAAAGTTAAACCCTAACCCTCAGCTGTTCTTCTGTCCCACCTAGACTAGCTTTTGTTACCTGCAGGACAGTGTAATTAATTAATTTAATTCTTTCAATAAAGTTATGTTGTTGTTGGTAATGTAATGTTATATCTAGAAATATTGAATGTAATGATTTTGTTTTCTTAGGAGTCTTTTACATCAAACTTATTGAGACTCATTCAGAAGATGAAACCTAAGCTAGAAACTGCTAATGATCAAGCAGGTATGAAATTAAGTCATAGAATTTTGAAATTGTATTTTACATGTATCACATACAAGATAATTATGTCCAGGTTTGCAGAAAAAGGGGAAATTGGAAATTTTGTCAGGTCAGTGAAAAATAGTAAAAAAAGAGGTTGGAATGGCCCCAACTAAATCTGTGATTTTTGCCCAATTTGCAAAATTTGTGAAAATTGTAAACTTTGCAAAAAATTGGAAAATTTGCTGAAACAGCAAGCAAGCAGTAGTTTCTCTCTTCAAGTATGGCTTTTAGCATTACAAAGTCGTTTGCATCTCTTGTTGGTCACGTATAAACAAACCAATTACTCTACACTGACAAGTACATGTAACACAAACGACTTTGTAAATGCTGAAAGCCATACCAGCAAGAGAGAAACCTCAGCTTGCAGGGTAAAGAGGAGGTTAAGAGGGTCCTGACTAAATCTTCAATTCATGCGAAAATTGTAAGATTTGTGAAAAATTGGACAAAAACTGGAAAATTTGCTGGATCAACCAAACTGCAATTTTCTGTGGAAACTGCGAAATTTCCAGCGAAAGAAAATTGGAAAATTCCCTGAAATTACAAAAGATAAAAAATTTGATTTGAGGCTGAGAGTTCCCAGACTAAAACTCCGATATTTGCAGAGTTGATGAAAATTATCAGAAGACAGGGTTGAGAAATCTTCAGTAAAAACTGTGATATGCAAGAACAACCAAAGATGTGATGTCTGCTAAAAATTGCAATATTTGCATGAACCCTTTTTGAAACCCCATTTATGAATCATTTAGGAATCTACCATGAAAAGAAAATATTCTTGACAGAGCCCCTTTGCTAAGAGAAATTGGAAACCTATTGATGCAAGAAAATTTGGTTATGATGTACATGCATTGTACACCCGCCGATGTCAAATGTCGCATTGCACAATTATTGACAGTAGCCTGTGAGTTATATAAGTCAGCCATATTCTCCATTTTCCCATAGACCATAATGCTCCTTGTTTACCCCCCAAAATTTTGCATAACCATTGTCGTCAATTTCTGTTAGGATGACTGTAATACCCAGGAGAAGTTGGAAACAATGGTTATGAAACATTTTGGGGGTAAACGAGATGTATTATGGTCTATGTGAAAATGGCAAATGAAGATGAATTAACAGCTGTCAAAATCAGGCATCTGCTAAATATCACATCACCATCTTGTGGGCTCAGATGAAAGACCAGTCGTTTTGCTCCTACATGTAAGGGGGTGTAATATGTCACAAATGTGTACGTAAGTCAAGTTATGCGCAAGCCAATTCAAGCTCAATTAACAACTGTCAAAATGGGACATCCGTAGACCACTATCACAAAACGGACACGTAAACCCGAAAAAACCAACTAATGGAGAAATAGGGACCGTGTAACCCCAACCTATGCTATGGCATCGCCTTTGAAACTAATAAAATAAAGCCTGATAACATGAATACGAGCAGAAAACGAGATGCTACATAAAATAGCTAAGAAACATAGGGGCCAGTACTTACAGATGGGAGCGAAATTAAGGCTAACAGAATAAGTGAAAACTAAACTAAACAAAGCAAGTTGACGCGGCGAAGCCGACCGCAGAATGACACGCATAACTAAATGCTCACTATATCAAACCCCCTAACCGCGATCCCTCGCGCGCTACACTAGAACCCAGTACTCCGTTCCTTGCCCGCAAAATACTAATTTATGTCAATTCTAATTTACACAAATTAGATTATGTAAACTTGTAAGAACATCTACTGGGTGCTTGTTTGCAGTTTTCAGAGGGTTTAGAATTTTGCGCTGTACGTTTTGCTAAAACTTTTTTGAGAGGATACTTAAATAAAGTTACACTTGACCGGTTCATGTGCTTTGCGAAAATCTATGAATATATTTTCGCCTGTATTGTATCACAACACTCCCAATCTGGGGAAAAAACCGAGAAAACAACATTTAAACATGCTCTCCGCTTATTTTAATAGGTAGTGTAGTAAGAATAGAATAAATCGAGATGGCAATTTTGTTAAAACAGTATGTTTTGATCCTGGAAGAAACGGACAAATAACGCAAAATGCGCAGTTTTGGGATCAAAACTATTTTTTTAGTCGAGCTTGCTTGAGGAAAGCGAGACTCTTAAAATGCAGTCCTTTTTTTTTTTCGGTGGGACCTAGTTTGTAGGCTACGCGTTCCTAGCGAAGACCGTGGAAACTGGGGATAAGAATCATGACGACTTTTCATTGTATGGAAATGAGTTTCGTGATGAGAATGCAGTTTATTTCGGCGATGACTTAAATGACGCATGTAAGTTGGCAATGACGTAATTTTCCTCGAATGGTGGCCGTTGATTTTCGTGTAATTATGCACGACATGCAGGCACATCCCCAAGCAGGATGAGAAAATATTATAGCGGGGAAATCCTCAGGATTTTGTGGCTTTTTAAGGCGTTACGTTTCTCAGAATATTGTCGCAATTACAGGAAATGTACGGTTAAATAGATTCACTTTGTTTTATGTATTTAATTGATAGATTTTCGCAGTTGTTACGATGTGAAGTCGTGTTGCACTTCATAAATACTTGAGATATGAAGTATCCACTGTCAGGTAATTTTTATGTGCACACGTGCGTAAAATTTATGTTCGCAAATAAAATAAAGGCAATGTATGAAAGGCTGCACGTACAATTATGTAAGCGTAAAAGTAGAAACTCGCTTAATTTGACGTTTAATCTCAATACTTTATGTCTTACCTCTATTTGATTTACGCGATTAAAATTTACGTGCGTTAACGTGCGGAGCCAAAAACGCATCAGTGGAAATCCACCCTAACGTGTCACGGCACAGGTAGCCCAAGCTCACTATGAGAGCCCTGAACAACATTATCCTACTTAGCTAATTAATTATTCATACAGCTAGAAAATTATAAGACGTTGTATGGAGAAATATTCTTTGCTCACTAAATTAGCAAAATGTACATTGAATATCGCTTTGAAGCTTACCTTTAGCGTCTTCTTGTTTTTCTTTGTATTCTGACTGCATTTCAGACCTCCTAGGCACTTTTTAAGGCCTTTTTTTGGAGCGACAGTTTTTCACCCAAATGACAGTAGAGCGAAAAACTGTCGCTCCAAAAAAGGCCTTAAACAGTGCCTAGGAGGTCTGAAATGCAGTCATTAATCTTAATGAGCAAAACTTCAAGGTTTACTGGAAAATCAGGATCGAGGATCGAGGATCGAGAAATCAGGGATCAAGGATCGGTTAAAAAGAACTTGAAAATAAAATAAATAAATAAATCGTGGATCAGTGATGATGTGGGCCGCAGACTGTAGATAAATTTCACAGAACATAACTCCGTTCGCTGTACTGAACGCTAAATTCAAGTAAACTAATCCGAGTCTGTCTGAGTCAGTGATTGTTTTGACGAGAAAGTGAAATTTTCCGGGAAAATGAAACGCTTTATCCTGGTGATACTGTAATACAAGAAAAAGCTTTTAACAGTTTTTAATTTTTAGGTGTACATTTGCTTTCAGTACTCCTTATTTTTCTTGTAATTGTTGTATACACGACCCCACCAGCAATGCTGATCTTGTTATCGTGCCATAAACTAAGGTTCTTACCTACCCACCTACCTACCTATCTATCTATCCATCTATCTATCTATCTATCTAAAATGCATGCTGTGTACAACTCTAAACATTGTACTCTGCGACTACGGAGATATTAAAAGTAGATACTAAGCAGCTATGGAAAATGTCATTACTTTCATGCGATATTGATATCTTATAAAACGGACAACAAATTCAGCAGGAATACGCGCCAACTGAATTAACTGTGTGTTGTATAAGGTTCTGTTCAACTTACACTTTTTTCCTGTGCTGAACATATACTGTACCGAGCAGTATCTTGGTCCGGTACAAAGAAGCTATGTATATTTATACTGACAGAGTCATGGGCCCCTGATACCGATAAAAATCATCGTTCAATTTTTCGAGTGTACAATCCCTGAAAGAGTACTCCTCAATGGAGCAATATCAATATGTAGAAGGTTTTCAAAGGTTTCACACCGGTTTGAGGCTAAGATGTGCAGCTTGTCTCCCATTTCAATTTTTACTTTTTGAGTATATACATTATGACATACAACACTCGTTTTGTATTCCAAACGAAAAAGTAGTATAACGGCACCGGGGCCTTCGACATTAAAACTCATCTCCAAGCAAGCGAGACTCAACGCTACTAAGAGCGTTCTTGTTTAAATTTGTGTTTGCGTGATCGCCATGTGCAACTATGCAAACTTGATGTAAACATAGCGCACAAATGTTGCTTCAAATAATTTATTGTAGTTTTGCCTCCAATAATTAACATTTCATTCAACTGTTTTGCCATTCGTTTGAACAATATTTTAGCCTGTATTTGATTTCTATTCCAAACCCAATAATATGCAATAATATTATACGACGATCAATTCAAAACTTTAATTGTTCACAACCTGTAGATTTCCCCCCTCCCACCCAACAAGGGGGGCTGTTAAAGTTTTGCATGGGTTCAGTATACCAGAAGGCATTAAGCTCGATTGGAGACTCTATTCATTTCAGATGTTTTTGCGGGATATTTTATCCTTAATCAACTGAAACCCTTACTCAAATGGTAAATGAAAGGCCCCAAATGTTAAGTAGGGATTTGAATATTTCTTTGTCATGGCTTAAAGTTAAAAGTTTTTTGCTTTTATTAGAAGTATATAAACGGAAGCTACGCTTTTAGCCCTGGCTAAATCTATGTATTAGTGTTTGGTAAATAAATAAATAGATAAATAAATAATTATAAATAACAATGACTAAATAAATATTGTGACACTCAAAATCCATGTGTTACATAGTCATGTGCTGTTGTGATTACCATGAAGACGAGTCCATGATAGCTACAAGAACATTAATTTCCAACATACTACTACTACTAAGTCGGCCACAGCCAAACCTTGACAAGATTATTCCAAACTCTTCGATCGTACATCAGTGCCTCTAACTCCTGACTGGAGTCTACATCAGCGTCTCACTTTACGTTATCAACTTATGTTGATTTTGGTTGTCCTCTACTTCTATGGCCGTGGGTTGGCTCCCAAAGGGTGATTTTGTGTGCTGGGAGGTAGTGATGCCTTTAACAGAGCCTATCCTCCTTGCTCCTACTTTATCTCTAACTCTCGGCAAATCTCCATAAAGATCTTCCTTGGAGGTGTGGTTTGTCAGGAAACATTCAAGACCACCTGCAACATGCGAGTGTAGCAACCATTTATTGACTTGGTAAGGGTAGGGGCTAGGGTCCAGGTTTCACCCCTATGAAGAAGAACAGATTCTACAGTGGCTTTGAAGAATGACAGTTTTACGCCCCTGGACTTATTAGATTTCCAGATCTTCATGTCGTTCAGCACCTTCGAGGCCTTGCCCTTTCTTGCTTTTTTGTTATTCTCTGTACTATCTTCCATAGTTTTGAGTAGAGTATCAAAACTCGACTTGTACTCGATAACTTCCGTCTTTTTTGGGTTAAGCTGCTGGCCAGCTTTCTCAGACTCAGACTCTGTTAGTGTGAGTGGTTTCTGTACCTGATCAACCCCATTAGACAAAAGTGCAATGTCATTGGCAAAGTCAAGGTCGGTTTCAGTGATTGCAGGATTCCGTCGAGATTTTCTCTGGGTGATCGTAAATCCAAGTTCTTCCTCTCTACCACTAAACCTTTTTACACAATTTCCGCAAATTTGAAAAAAATCCACAACTGCCTTTCGACTTTAGTGA